TCCGTAATATCAGATACCATAACTTGGGGTGTATCTGGTTTCAAAAGTGTAGAATCACCTATGATTCTGAGGCCTTCTGATGGTTGACGAGTATTAGATCTGTCTCTTAACGGTACTTACACATTTGACAGACTTAACTATTACAGTAAAAAATTTTCACAATTTCCGGTAAAAAAGTCTTGAGGATATAAAAAGAGATTGTCGTGTTATCGAAGTATCAAAATCAAGGATAAACAGATACATATTGAAAAATAAAAAACCAAACTTTCCTTTAATAGTACTGCGTGGGGATAAAATCCTTAGTCCCACGTGGTTAGAAGGAGTATCAGTAAATGCAGGGTTGTAGACTCCACAAGTGAATACTATATGTAGCTTTAGATGACACAATGCAATACTTGTTAAGTATGAATAAGTGAATATTGTGAGGAACGCGGCTTAATTCCGAAAGAATATAGAAAGATGATTCACGCAGAAACAGGACACCTGTAGCGCAACAGTTTGTTCCATTTTCTTGCCTTTTATAGAGTTTCTTCACAAATGTTTTCCACAACTTGATCCAACCGCGTGTGTAGGTCATTGGTGTGCCAAACCCCTTGGTTCGCTTTACTCTAACCTGGATGCAGAAACATATCTGAAGACTTCAGTTACCACGATTCCTAAGAGTACCCCACAAGAAACCGTAAATTTTCCTTGCTGACGCATTGGTAGCGGTTGATGAATGCCTACAATTATTATCCACGACATTCATCAGTGAACGATGGATGCTAACCCTCATCGTTCAAGTCGACTCGTTCATCTGAAGGCTTACGGCCAGGCATCCGGGCCATTTGGCCCGCCGTCGTGTTACGTTAGTTAGCTCGTGCGCGATCCCTAGCTAGTTAATCAGTCAACATCACAGTCCGATTGGGTCCCGAAATATTCATCATAATTTTGATGGTCAGTTCTTATGTTTTGCTTTGCCTTCAGCCTACGCGGAGCGAATGCAATAAAAGTTGCGTATATTAGATCTTGCGTTAGTATCAATCGTACTGTCCGTGAACGTCAACACCTTAAGCCTCTAAACATCCTCCATGGTAAATGTCAGTAGATTCCATTCCAACATCCAAATCCTATTATCAGGTATAACGCAACAGTACATCTTGTTAAATTATGAAATGATGAAAAAATTAAGTCAGTAGTAATAGGACAAGCAAGAATATGAATGGGAACTTGGAATGTACGTACAATGTACGAGGCTAGGAAGGCTGCCCAGGTAGCCTAAGAAGTGCTAGTGCACGAACTTTGAATAGGAAGTGAATTGTACACGCTCTTGTTTAATTTTGGCTTCTGTTGTGTTATACGCTCCATAAGTATATAGATTATTTTTAAATCATTTCATTCTGATCGAAGTTAGTTTCCGTTTTAGTTTTGAGTCTATTTAATTATATGAAGTTGTGTTCTTATGTATTGATAGTTATACATACCTTTTATGCACTCATTGGCTTTTATCGCTGATTTATAAAGGTCATATATAAAGTTATATTTGAAATATTTTATCCAAATTTGCTCTTAAAGGCATGCCTATCGAAATGAACCGCTGTGGAGGGGTTATATGCCAGTTTCCTGTTGAAGAAGAAAGCAGTGTGATAACTGCAAGATATGGTTGAATAGCATGTGCACGAACCTAACTCCTGCAGCATAGAAGAGCTGCTGTAAACCTCTCGCGAACTGGCTGTGCAATGACTGCTGCATTAGACTAAGTTTCGTATGGCGGAAGTCATTGCCACTCTCACTGGAGCTGTAAAGCTGGTAGACTGCAAGTGTCTTCCACCACAGAAGAAGAGCGACTACTGCTCAGACACCGATGACGTGACTAGCGACACCAACAACAAAATAAAAGTCCCTGATGCGTCTCTGTCAGGGAGTGAGTGCCCATCAGCACAGAAGAGCACGCACCATATTCCAGACACCCATTCTGGCCCTACGTTACTGGAGGAGTTTTCCAGTGACAGCAGTAGAGAAAATGACAAGAAGAAGAGGCGTACCAGGGGTCGAAAATCAGCTGCTCAGGTCGCCCAGGAACTTGAAGATCAAGCCTCGTCCACATCGGTGGACAGCAGGCAGATAAAGTCGGCTACGATTAGTGGGGGGGGGACGACAATGAATGGCGTAATTTAATATCTCGCAAAAGGCGAGGAAAGGATACATTATCCACGAAGGACGGGAGGAAACTTGCGCTGCGGAGCAGGAAAGCCAAGGCAAGGAAAACTGATCTCTTTGACAGGTAGCTCATTATACACAAAGTGGAATAATCACCATCTTATGATCCAAGGGGCAGTTTCCAGCATGACCTTAACTTGATCAAGCCCCTCGTAGATAAGCTACTGCCAATACAGTATCAGGCATAACAATACACAGCTTATAAAGGATCGGCCAAAAGCCTGACCCTGCAACTAATCAGCCTGTATGCCTCCTCAAGGTTGTACTAAACTCCAAAGAGGAGAGGGATGCCATTCTAAGCGACTCTCAAACTCTTAAAGGATCAGGCATATACGTCCATGCCGACTTATGCCTAGCAGGCCATGACAAAAGACAGTCTGCGGCCCTAGAATTAGGCGAATGACTCCGAAACATAGAAAAATCTTAAGATTAAGGGTTTCCGGGTTGTCCAAGTTCTAAGTTTGATGATCCTGCAACCTTTGTAGGTAGGCTGTGAAAGCACCAAACTGGATTGACAGTTCGCCACACAAATGCCCGGAACCTGTTGAACAAACGGGCTAAACTGGGTAATATGATAGACTTCGGAAATTCATATGTAACTATAATCACTGAGATATGGCTCAAACTCAATGTCAATGATAACTTCCCAAACTTCAAAGTGCATAGGATGGACCGACTAAGCCGTAAAGGAGGTGGCGTAGTCATCTATTTCAAGAAATGCATCGAAGCACTCACTGATGAAAGTGAGTCGTGAGAACTTCTGCGCTGAAGACTTAAACGCATAGGCGAAGATATCGACATCGTTGGTACATACCGCAGTCCTGACTGCAGTGAAGATGACTTCCTAATGGAGAAGATAGGCTCCTGGACGTCGAGATGTCGAGGTCTCGTTGTTGGCGACTTTAACGCTCCAACAGTTGACTGAACAAGCCTTAAGATGCCATCTTCAAACAACTCCTTAAATCATAAACTGCTAGAATCTAGCATTTCGCTAGCCCTAGTCTAGTTTGTCACGAAGCCAAGGCGCTACGATCCAGAGCACTCCTCCTCAACTCTCAACCTAGTGTTCTCTCATGGCGAAGACTTGGATCTCATTCGGCATCTTCCTTCTTTAGGAAGAGGTGATCACTCTGCGTTCACTTTCAAGTTCACAGCAGCAGTATCATGGGCAAAAACCCCAGCTCGACGAAGCGTTTGGAAAGCTGATATAAATGCGATCGTCTCAGCAGCCAACCAAGTGAATTGGTACATAAACCCAGAGTCCCAAGGAGAAGCGGCTCGTAACCAGTTTAAACAACTTTATTACCAAGCAACTGAACATTCTATCCCTTGGTCTGTCCCAAAGGGTCGGAAACATTGCCCCTGTTGGATTGACAGAGAGATTCGTAAGTTACTCGGACGCAAACACAAATGTTGGAGCCTGCGTGCCACACTTGAGACTCCTTAGACCAGGAATTTACATTGCACCGCTAGGAATAAAGCTACTACAGAAACCCGCCAATCAAGGATGAAGTTCGAAGCACATCGGGCTCAAGATGCAAAGGCACAACCTAAAAAGATTTCCTCGTACATAAACTTCAGGAATAAAACATTCAGTGGTGTCCCGAACCTGACTATTGACAATGACACAATCGAAGAAGATCAAGAAAAAGCGGAAGCAAAAGCAAACTACTTCTCCCAAGTCTTTACACAGGAATCATCACTCCCTATGGGATCAGCTCTGGCTGTATCAGAGGAATACAGGATGGATTCAACCAAGAAATCGTGCTCAACTGCCTAATGAAACTAGATGCAGGGAAATCAATGGGTCCTGATAATCTTTATCCAAGGCTTCTCAAGGATCTATTAGCCCATATAGCCGGCCCTTTGATTACGATCTTCAGGCTATCTCTCCTAAATGGAGTGTTACCACATGACTGGAAAGACATCATAGTAACTCCCATCCACAAAGGAGGATCAAGACAAAGCCCTTCAAATCACAGGCCTATTAGTCTCACCAGCACTATAATCTAGACACTGGAAAAATCATCAAAAAAGTATGACGGCATATATGGAAAACAACAGAATGTTATCCAGAGCACAGCACGGCTTCCGAAGAAAACTTTCATGCCTGTCAAATCTCCTCACTGCATGAGAAAGCTGGGTCGAGTCAAGGGACAACAGAAGACCCGTTGATATCTTCATAGACTTCAGCAAAGCATTCACTAATGGTCCCCACAAAAGACTGCATCCAGGCAACCAGTCCTTGTCTTAAAGGGGACTCAGACATTGTAGAAACGGTCCAAAGGAAGGCAACTTGTATGGTTATCAGTATGACTAGTTTTCCATACGAGGAAACACTTGACAGTTTAAATTTATTCCCATTGTCATACCGTGAGTGGAGAGGTGATTTAATTAAAATGTTTTAAATTTTATATAATGACTACGGACCTGACCAATTCTCTCTTTTCCTTCCCACCAGGTCGGAACACCTTAGAGGGCATGGCAGGAGAGTTCTAAAGACAAGAAGAAATCATATTGCTGTTGAGTACTGGTTCTTAGACCGAGGCATAAACTCTTGGAACTGACTCCCAGAGTGGTGTCTGCAGCATCAACTGATCCATTCAAGAAGGGTTTGAACAAGCACAGAAAACGATTAACATAGGCTCCAAGCCTTCTATCCTCAACCAACAAATCTGAATCTGGTCGAAATTTGCTGACACGAAATACACTGATGTTTTCAAAAAGCCTGGTATTTACCTGATGACATGAAGAAAAAGATAAGGCGCACATGACAGTATTGGACACATAATTCACCTTGACATTGATTAAGGGAACACAGCGATTTTTTGAATGGCATATTGACCTTGAGATACTAAATGAATGCAAAGGGATGGTTGCGGGTTCCTGAAAGGTCAGTTATCGAAGATGATTGGAGATATATTAATTATTGATGTCACAGTAACACGAATGCCTAAACTTCTTTTCAGTCATTAAAATCTGCCCTCAACGTTTAGAGCCACAAGTTGTAAAAACATGTTTCTGAACGATTAGAAAAGGATAACATATCAGACGGCAGATCTCTTCAAAAAGTAAAAATACTTCACTTCTCATTAGGGAATTCTGGCCCAAATATTTTCGAGCAAAGTTCCCTTCAGATTTATTCAGATTCAGATTTATTGGTTGAGGATAATAATTGATTATTTCTATCCTTGAGAATGTATAACAGTTGTCATATACAAGTGATACTTCTGCGTAGTTCGTCACCCCCCACTCGACTGTAGTAGCCTTGGTTGACTGCAAAAGGAGTGGTGCATGGATTAATCATGCGTTCTTTGTAGCATGCGGTGTGTCAGGACCGTGTTGCTACCGTGAATGGAGTTGTTCGTTCCACCAGTTAGTCCTCCGGTATCGATAAAAGAAAAGAGATAATGATAATACATATAGTTAGTTTAGGTTATGCAGACTGAAAGACAGAAAAAGATATAAAGAAAGAGTAACAGACAGCTAATGAAATTTAAAGTCGATATATATATATATAATATCAATATAAATAGTGTAAGGGATATAATATTTAGAGTAGTCAGGAGAGTAAGACAAGACAGAATGTGAAGAAGTAAAACGATGAGTTTAGATGTCTACCCATTAATATCATATGAGATTTTAAGGGGATAGGCTGTTTATACTGTCCTTGTGTCGCTGCATGATTGTCCAGCCTTCGCTTTAAGCTGTCCACGGACAGTGCCATAGCTACATGTGCTGGTAAGGAATTTCAGGGACGGCAAATTCACAGTGAAAAGAAATGGAAGCTCACTGGAGTCCTCGCCTTCTGGTGAGCTCTCCTTCGGGAGTTTCCACGTGGAAGCCTATACCTGCTCAATGGCAGAACACCTTTGTTTGGGTGATTCTGGTGATCTGTTATCATGTAGGCAGTAATCAAGTCCCCCTAAGCCGATGGGAGCTAAGTGTTAAGAGACCTAATTTCTGTAGCTGTTCATAGTACGATTTGTTTCGGAGACCCATCACTTCTTTTGTCGCCCGTCTTTGGACTCTTTCCAAGAGGTTTGCGTCTCTTCTAAGCAGTCGGGGTGCAATGATATTATGCACTTCAAGGTGTGGTCTGACGTACATTTTGTACAACCTTAGAAAAAGCTCAGGAGTGAGTGCACCTAACTGTCTATACGTAAAGTGTATGACAACATATACCCTAGCTACATCGCCCCTGTATTTCACACTTATGTCCATTTTTCCGTTAGAACTAAACCTAATTCACGCTCAGACGTTTTGCAGGACAATCTTACGTTGCACAGGGTGTAACTTGGCTTCTGCATTCCACAGGTGCGTAATTTCAACACTTTGCACTTTCTCAGTTTGAAAGTCATACCATTGGCCACCTCCCAGTCTTCCAGAAGCTTTAGATCTGCCTGCAGCCTATCTGAGTCCTCCGGACACATTTTCGCCCTCCATATCTTTACGTCAGCGTACAGAAAAGTCGGGCAGCTTAGACGGCATGATAGGTCATTGATAAAGATCAAAAACATCAGTGATCCTAGGATAGAACCCTGTGACACTCCCGATGACGAGCCGTGTCAAGATGATTGAACTTGGTTGACCTTAGTGAACAATTTCCTTTCACCTAGGTAGTCCTTCAACCATGACAGAAGTGGCTTACCTATACCTGCCTGGCTTATTTTGTGTAGGAGAAGCTCATGGTGAACTGTGTCAAATGCTTTCTCAAAGTCTTGGAAGATCACATGGATTGAAATATTCATATCCCAGCATGATGTCTAATCGTCTCAAGCTGATAGTAGGTTTGTTAAAAGGGGTCTACCTTTCCCGAAACCGTGTTGGGCTTCATGGAGTCTGTTAGTCTTACCGAGGTACTGCCTGATGTGATCAATTTTACTTTCCAGTACTTTTGATACCACTGGGAGTAGCGCTATTGGTCTATAACTGGTGGCATTTCACCTGTCCCCCTACTTGAAGATCGGAGAAAGGATGGCTCTTTTCCACTCCCTTGACAGTTTCTCCAAATCCATCGAGTGCTGGAACAAGTCGCATAAGGGCCTACGGAGAGCTTCTGCACAGTTCCAGAACAGATGGCCTGATGTCGTCACAACCTGAGGACTTTCCAGACGTGAGTCACTGTGGCTTCTCTAGTACTATTACCAGGTTTATTTGGAGAGTAGCCACTAGGTTTTCCTCCGGTGAAGTTTTCGTCCATGCCAGTAATACACTGCTGTTTAACTGTTTGGCGAAGGTTGAACTGAATGTTTCAGCCATTTCTGGACTAGTGAGATATTGAACGTGTGGACCTACTAAGGCGTATACCCTCTGGTTGGTTGGTTTTCTCTCTGCATGAATCGGTACTGGCTTTTGCGATTCGCAACGAGTTTTTTTTTTTGGCAACGTTAGCCTGAAATAACTTCCTGTTACTCATGACTCACGATGCACCAGTTTCTGATTTCCAGGTATGCATCGTAATCTATTTAACGCCTGAAGGTTCGCCACGTAGACCAAGCCTTCCTCCCTGCTTGCGGAATAAGTTGCGCATCTCTCCTCAGCAATGAGGATCTTTTCTTCGACTGTGCTGTAATTAGATGGACAGTATCTGAAATTGCTGTATGAATAATCTCTTTAATACTTCCCAATGTTCATCCACAGATAACTCAGCCCATTCTATGGGCCATTCTGAGTCGGACAAAAGCCTTCCCATTCTGGCATAGTCAGCCTTGTTATAGTGTAGCAACAGAAGACAAGGGCCAGGCAACAGATCGTTTATTAAGGAAAATCAACACATACTTATAGATTATAATGTACATTATTATAGATTATTGTTAGTAGAAAATGCAGTCTTTTGATTGGTTGTTTCTCACAGAAAGTTAACCTTGCATCTCTTTGTGGCTGTGTCAGATCATCCATATGCTAACTGTACCCGCCTACGCGAAGCCTTTGTTCTCATTTTCTCACCACCAATATTGGGGACATAAACATTGACGTCAATTACTGTCTACCAACTTTGGCTAGCAGCCAGCTCTCACCACAATAGCACAAACATGATTCCTTATCATCCCACTGTAAGCGTTCATGGAGATCAAGATCAAACACAATAACTGCGTGGTCAATACTTTCTAGGGGAGTCATGATCTGAAAATTTTCTACAAGTAGTTGGTCACTAGTTAGAATATAATGTAATTTCGATGACTTTCCACTAAGGCCTCAACTAGTGTCGTCTCCAACATTCTTAGTCAGTCCTGTATTTTTAATGGCTTTTAGTAGATTTCGACCGAATTTTCCATGAGGATAACCTGAGGCAAGATTCAGGGATGGAGCATTGAAATCTCTAGCTATAGTGATTTGGTCATGGCCCAAATCCCTTATCCCTGTGATGGTGTTGAGCAGTAGCTGGTTGTGTTCTGCCCCGCAGGTGGGTGATGGGCAGATGCCAATCAGTAAATGCTTGGTGTGGCCTACGGTGAAATGACACCTAGTAGAGTCTGGAAGTTCAGTAAGTAGTGGGTCGGTTGTACATACGCATTTAAGTTGCTTGTGAAAGTGCATGACAACTCCCCCACCTTCCTTGTTATCCCTTTCCCTCCTGACCAAAGACCATATCATTTACACTGATTTCGTCGTCGGCTATAGTGGTGACTAGCCAGGTTTCAGTCAGGATCATTATTTTAAGGTGTAGGTGTGACTGAAGTTTACTGAGTTCACCTACTCTTCTTCAATGGCTAATGCTAGTCTAGGGAAAAAATATGGTTCGAGTCTAATTAGAGGTTCAAAGTCGCTTTTTAGCGTAGTTCGCTTCAGTGTCATCTAGTCGCTGTCACTTAATTTTGTGCTTGCTAGTCAGGAAGTCAAAGCTCATATTCTACATGTCTCAACTCTAAGGTCGTTGACTGTATTCAGATGTCGTATTCCCTGAGAAGTATTTATTTTTAGTCATATTTTAGGTATTTTCTGGGGAATAGAAACCTCCAAGCGTATTTTACTCCCTTCCCGGTAAGTATCCTTATTTGTTAATCCCTTATGAAACTAGTTGATTTAGGGCACAGGACAGTTCCAGGAGTACAAAATTCCGCATCGTTTTTATGAGCTAGTGTTAACTGAATTGAATTCTTTGTGCTCTCTCCTTGGATTTAAGGTGAAATTTCCTGGTCTTAAGTAAAATTCTGCTTAATGCACTACGCCACTCGACTGTCGTGGCTTTTTTGACTCCAAGTTGAACATTACTGGAATTGGTTATATGTGGTTCGTAATATGGGGTATGTTAAGACCGTGTCGCTGCTGTGAATGGAGTTGATCCTTTCATCTGTTCGTCGTCCAGTGTGGGGGAAAATAGAGATATTAATACTGTTTTATTATCTATTTTACTGCATTTTCGTCTACTAATTTGTCTAGCAAAGACTTAAACTGATGCAGTCGTCCAGGTTCTCCACCTATTTATGTATGTGTGTTCCAGCTATGAAAAAATATGACTTCTGCAAAACACTCCTTGGTGGAGTTGAGTTCATTGGCTTAAACTATTTCGGGCAGTTAGCCACAGGTTCGAGTTGTACCCCATTTATTTCAGCCTCGGCGACCGGGTAGTATCAGCAGCCCTCACATGATAAATGTGGCTCTTAGTCTGGCAAATGAAAGATCGGTTCCGATTACTCGAGTTCAAAATATTGCTCCACTGGCAGAAACTGCTACTACCAATCTACTCCTCAAATAACTTTACTTTAAACCCGTAAGTTTAGTTCACTCACTCAAAATCCACCGAGATCTGTGACATATCTCAAAAGGAAATGATTAACTTGATCTCATTTGGTTGATTTATCTGTTTGTAGAATCCAGGACGCGTATTTTGTCCTGTTTTCAACTCGTCAGCCAGGTTTAACTTTATCCCAGTGTATGTGTTTCACTGGGATTCGAACGCAGCAACTATTGTTTCAGACGTTAAGGCTTTACCCATTAGCTTACTGAACTACAAGAGACACCACTTAGGCTATTTGCATCACCTACTTCTCATTCAAACTATTGGGAATTTCCCGTTGATTGATTTCTCTGTACCAATATGATCAGTACCTGTTGACATGTTGGCTCGTGGTACGGACTCTCTATCCAGTTCCTATTTGGTTCAGTGAACAAATCGTGTAGGCATTAGTAGTATATCAGTGACAGAATTCAGATTAATGCCGCAAGTGTTACGGAAAGCTTGGCTTCGTGAGCTGAGTTTTTGTTGGCTTACCACTAAGTCACGTACCGGATTAGTAAAAAGGTAATTCAGTATTCCAACCACTTAGGATTAGTTGCTAAAACCTCTGGGCCAACATAAAGCGTGCTTAACTGCTCCCATTTTTCTTGTTTTTTGTTCTAATGGTCACGCATATGTTATATTCGTTACTGGTCACGAAGATAGGTTCAATACACTATACACTACAGTCTATTTACACATTAAGCGTATAAATCAAACGATAAATCATATTTTGGGATAATTTGACGAATTTTCCGTAGTTAATAATTAATAGATACCAGTTTAGAATCTATTTTTGATATTTGTTATTCAGTTTGTATACCGAGATTTTATTTAGTCGTATTTATTTATGTTTTAAAATTCATTTTAATTAGATTGACATTTACTCATGTATACGTGCTTGTCGTATATTTTAGGCCATGTTAAGCAAGAGTCCGTCCTTGAAAAATCTATGAAAACTTTTGGAATGGAGACTGAACGGTCAAATTTATTGGCTGTTGCCAAGATAGTTGTGAGAGATCTGATACAATATACATATGGTCGACAACAAGTGTCTTTTGATGAAACTTTTTTTTCGATTATACCTGGAAATGTCCCTAATGGTGAAGTTTCAAATATTATCTGGCTACTACTTTGTGTTATTGAACACTGCCTTTGTCATGGATTGCGCCACGAATACACCACCACTAATTCCGCTTATAGTACTCGTGAAGGGACTATGGCTAAAGAATTTTTAAGGAACACTACAAGTGTTATTCGACGAGCATGTGATCATGTGACATCTACTGCAAATAGCTTTGTGAAACAGTCATCTTACCCGAATCCCTGGCCAGTACTTTTGGAAGTAGAAAAACTGTCGGCGTTTTCGAATGTAATTAGTAGTACTATTGTTACAATGACTGAAATAAAGACTGGGATAGGTCTTTCTCGCGTATGGCTTAGACAAGCTCTAATGCGGAAGGTAATTCGTTTGATTCTTTTTACCTATGTTGTATCTTTTCATTAATCCCTTACAACTGTAAAATAATCTTAGTTACCTGGAAATTGTTCATGTACCAGGCGATAGACGGCATATTTTGTATGAGGGCTGATTATAGTATCTAGATGGTAATACAAATGGGTAGGACGAGATTTGAACTCAAAATCCTCTGGCTGGAATTCGATTATCCGTATCTACACGAAAACAGTGTTACCATTACGCCTTTATAATTTAAGTATTTTTTAATACTTATCAAGTAATTATTGTTCTTAGTTGAGTAAATATAAGTTTAATTTCAAGTCTTAAGACTTCATGTCATCTTTCATTTTGTTCAATTCTGGATGGATGAATACTGTTACGCGAAAATTTTACTTGCAAGTCAGTAAATTTCGTTGTTCAGTAAAAGGGTGCACTTACGTTTAGTACTTAACAGTTCATTTAATCATACTTTACTGATCTGTGCGTTAAACACCTTTTCTGTATAGCATTGTTTCGCCTATATATATATATATATATATATATATATATATATATATATATATATATATATATAACATTGGTCTGCATACATTACTATAGATTCTTGAATTTCTGTTATCTTTCTGATCACGGAAATTCTGATTAACTGTTTGTTTACATTTCGCATTTGTGCAAGTGGTCTGTGGTTACTCGTGTTACTTAGTAGTATCCATCATGTTACCTCTTGTTGGTAGTTCAGTGTTTTGTATGGTGTCAGATAGGTAATATTATAGATTGAATCTTCTGATTACGCTACTATCATCTCAAGTTGTATAGTTCTCAGTCATTGGGTCTCCTGAAATTCGTTATTGCTGAAATTCTGTTCTACAGTTATTCATCTTGTATCATTTGTTTTCCTGAGTGCTCTAATAAACTTTAAATATTACGCTACTCTACTAGTATATTTTGAGATTTATATGCCGTAGAAACAAGTGTTTAATTAATTGTGTTTAAGAAATAAACTTTTCACTCTTTATTGTATGGATAATTTTTACATCCACACATGTGTATATGTTCTTCTCAGTAATATCGAATCCCTTCTATTATATTATATTTAGCAACTTGGCGAATACATCCAAGTAATCATAGATTATATTGGTACTCACAGTTCGGATTACAAATCGGAAGATTCTTCGAAAGATTGTGAGTCTAAATCAATATCAAATGCAGCACAAAAGTTTAATTTATTTACTACATTCTATGAACCCGGTGCCTTGCTTTTAAATAACGAGGGGATTGTTTTAACTGGACTGTTAGCAAGCTTAAAATCCATCGACTTTTGCTTCATATTGAAAGACAATTTGTCCTACATGGATAGACCGGTATGTGTTTTCGTTTTTCCTTCTAACTTTCATAGATATTTTCTGATTGATTACAAAATTAAGCGACAGCTCCTAAATTGGTTCCAGGTTCTACCTACCTCACGGGTTTGAACAGACTCTGCTGGTTTAAGTGATTATTCCTTGTGGCCCTGTTAGACATTATTTAGATAGTTTGAATAGATGTACTACAACCTCCCCCAAACTGAGGTAGACAGTTTGGAAAAGGTTTGCCTCAAAAACATGGTACCCCCTGTCTCTAAGGCTTATTGTCTCTGAGGCAGAGTTCTCAAGGTACAGACTCAAATGCATTTACAACACTATCTCCAAATTTGTCGCATACTATTGACTTCAAACGGATATGCTTTGGGTTTAACGGCTAAGCAGTATATACTGTTGTTCACGCCAAGTAAAAATTCAGGTTCCACTTGAGAGCCTGGCGAGCGATGTCACTCGACGGTCTCAGCATGTACCTAATCCATCTCCATTTTCTCCTACGTATTTGTTAAGCTATAGGTTCTTAGTAAGCTTTTTCTCATGGTTTCTTGTTGTTAATTCTTTCTAGTCATCTGATCTTCAGTATGGAGCGAAGGCAGCTGTTCATGAAAGTCTGCAATCTGTTGGAAATCCTTTTCGTTACACGCAGTACATTTTTCTGGCCCGTATAGAAGGACCGACTTGGCATTGGTGTTGAAAATGCGAATCTTGTTCTTAATGCTGCCTCAATACAGAAGAAATCCAAACTGGTTTCAGGTTGATGAAGGTCCGTCTTGCCTTTCCTATCCTGCTTCTGACATACTCATTTGTGTCGCCACCTGTAGTTGAAACGATGCTGCCCATATAAATGAAGAAAGTAACCTCTGTTAAATTTCTTCCGTTGATGGTGATTAGTGGTAGTTGTTGTTGTTAGTTGGTTACCTCCATCACCCCCGTCTTCTCTATGTTCACCTGGAGTCCTGTCTTCTCTGCCAGCCTCTTCAGCCAGTTTGTTGATTTTCGCCTGTAAGTCTTCGAGTTTGCGTGCCATTAGATATATATCATCCGGGCGTAAAATCCAGGTCTCCTAGAGTCTTCTTATCGGTGATCCAGCGTATTCCTGTCTTCTCACCACCAAGCACAGTCTGACGCATAATCCAGTCCACCACAATTAAGAATATCATCGGTGATAGTAGTGGGCAGCCTTGTCTCACTCCTGTATTGACTTCGAACGCCTTGCTGAGTTTCTCACTGTGGATCACCTGACTGACACTTGGCATTGTCATGTAGCCAGCTGTTGAATGAGGTTGATAAAGACTTGGGCAATGCACGCCATAGTGTCAAAGTAGCTTCCAAATTACTTCTCGGTCAACGCTGTGTGGTGAATGCCTTTTCGAAATTGATGAAGTTGAGGTGGAGAGGGGTTTCACTGCCATTCTGTGCTTCATTCGATGATGATGATAATGCGTAAAGTTGCAATTTGATCAGCATATGATTTACCTTTCTTGAATCCTGCCAGCTTGTTCCAGTGGAGCTGGCGGAGTTCTGTATCCAGTGCATCTTTTATTCTCTCCAGGATGATGTGACTTAGTATTTTACTTGGCATGAACAAGAGCATTATTCCACGCCAGTCCTAGCAGAGACTTAAGTCACCTTTGTTTGTCAGCTTGACAAGGTAGCCTTTCTGCTAACCGATAGGTACCATTCCTTCCTTCCAAACCTTTTCCAACAATGGTGTGAGCACAACTGCCGCAGTCTCTGGGTCCGTTTTCAGTGCTTCGGGGGTAATTCCGTCTGGTCCTGCTGCCTTCCCGAATGGCCTTCAGTAGCTTGATTGCATTCAAGATTTCAGCTTTCGTTGGAGGATTGGTGTCCACTGGCAGACAGCAGTTGTGTGCGTGTTGTTGTAGGTGGTGGGATTTCTGGCCAAGATGTAGGTGACGATAGTCAATTCAAGAGTCCTTCGAAGTGATTAGCTCATTGCTTTATTTATCTGTCTTCCTTGGTAACCAGGTTCCCTTGAACATTGTTTGTTGGTTTTATCATCTGCATTGATCTCTGTCGGATAGCGAGCAGCCTGGTTATCTGATATAATGTCCCTAGGTCTCTTTTATCTATGGCCTGCTTGTTGTGCTTCATTTGCCAGACAGTGTGTCGTAGAATTGTCTTTTGTCCTTCCTAGCACTCTGCTCCACTTCTTTATTCAGTGCAGTGTACATTGAACTCAGCTTCTCCTACTGTTGTCCATCTTTGTATTGAGTTATCTCTCACCATCCTCCTCGCTTCAATGAACTTCCAGGTGTCGGTTGAGAGCGATTCCTTGTCTTGTTTCTTCTTTCTTCCTAGAAGAGTTGTACACGTTTCCTTGAATATCGCTTTCAGAGAGTTCCAATGTTCTTTCACACAGGTTTCCTGAGTGATGCCATGTTTTATCAATAACTTTGCTCCAATGGCTGCAGTAAACGTGTCCTTTTTAGTTTTGTCCTTCAGTTTCTGAATGTTGAACTTCAATTGTGGTCTATCTCTAGTTGCTTTGAAGGCCTTTGTGTTGAATTTGAAAATCCCTTGCACTACACTGGATAATGGTGTGAGCCGACATCTTCCCTTCTGGAATTAGTGTCCAGCAGGCTGCGTCTCCACTTCCTTGAAGACCGTTGCGATGAAATTTATCTGGTGTTTGGTGTATCCGTCAGGCGAAATCCATATTGCATTGTGTGTATCTTTGTGCTTGTACACGCTGCCTCCGATTACAAAATCGTTGAAAGCTCAGAAGTCTGCGAAGAGTTCTCTGCTCTCATTCATTTCTCTGGACCCAATGATAAGTTGTCTTCCGACCCTCCCTCTTTTTCATGGCTGAAAACCGGTTAGAAAACACTCGGCCTGGTAAACTGGGCAAGGTTAATCCTGATCTACTGATGAGGCTTATTACAACACTAACGTATGCGTCATATTTTTTGTTTGTATCTTGGTCCATTGTGCTTGTGAAGATATACTAACACAGCTACATTAGAATGATTTGTACGCAATAAAAGCGTTATTCGGTGTCTTCTTGGTGTCACTGACGAATGTAAGTGCTCAAGTTTAGCTAGCAAAGCTGATTTTTTCGGACATCAGAATACAGCTAACTGGATTGATGGATAAGACATGTTGCTGTCATTCGAACGTATAAGATTACGAGTGAACTAAAACTTTAAACATATGGATTCTAAAATATTTAAATAATGCCAGCGATGTGTGTTATACTGTTAACCACCGATTGACTGGTGTGAACCTCAATGTGGTGTCATATCTTTTCTATTCGCACTCATTCTATAGCACTGTAAACATATTGAAAGCAAACGACTGCTCGAAATTAAATCCAAAATTTTAACTGGCAATTTTATATTCAAAACAATTAGTTCCCTTTATGAATTTAGATAAAGCAATAAGAAGACGTAATTTGTCTGAATCGTGTAATGTATTTGCGCAACACATTTCGAACAATCTGATCACACACGGACTTGTCATAGGAATATATATGAAATTAATAAAGAGGTAAGAGGTGAGAAAAATAGACTTAGGTCAAGTTTAAAGGATATATTCAAGGTCAAAGTAACAATGAAGACCACTAAACCAAATAACAGAGGTAATAGTACATCTGCTATGGTGTCAAAACAAAATTTACCAAGGAAGGTTTAATGTGATGACAAATTGTTTTTGAACGCATAAAGGTGGCTTAAACTTTCTAATTGCTAGGGCTTCCACAAACTTTAGGATACGCCCCAAACACGTTTTATAGATAGGTTTAAAAGATCTGTTAACGTCAATTTTATGTCCTGTTTCTATAATATGTTTTGCAATAGAGGAGCTAGGTCTCCTGTTCTCACCATTAATGGGTTCTGAAGATTCCATTTGTTTCTGGAGCCATTTAGGAATATGCTCTGAAGCCCTTACTTGCAGAGATCGATGAGTCCTCCCTATGTATGTGTGTCCACACGTACATTCAAATTGGTAAATACAGTGGGATGTGACGTCATTTTTCTCATGTTCGAAGGGCTTAGATAGATATATTGGCCTAACATTCTCTATTATTATGATATTGGCTGCACAAAAAGTCTTTTTGACAGCAGCGTTCAGTCTTTGTCTAGTTATCAAGCTGTTTTGATGCCCCATATAGGGTAGCTTGATGTATACGTCTTTCTTAGGGGCGAGTTGGAGAGTGGGTCTTGGTGTTCTGACTACTTTATATCTCCTGATGAACTTGTCTGGATAATTGTTTTCAACCAGAGTTTGTGTCAATTTTCCTTCTTCCGCATCAAGTGTGTCTTCAGTGCATATTCGTTGGATTCTACTGAAGAGGCACCTTACTAAGGCTCTTTTGTACCGAACAGGGCAAAAACTGTGGTAATTAAGATACTGTCCTGTCCAGGTAGGTTTTCTATAAATAGATCTTTTTATCGACCCATCAAGCCGTCGACTTAGCAGTATATCTAGGAAAGATAAACAGTTATCTTCCTCTTCTACAGATGTAAGTGATATGCTATTTTGGACTTCATTCATTCGATTTAAAATTGAGGTAGCAGAACAAGACTTATCACTGATGATTACAATATCGTCTACATACCTTCTATAAAGTGGCACATTTTCGATTAAATCCTCCTTGATGCGGAAGAAGGAAAATTGACACAAACTCTGGTTGAAAACAATTATCCAGACAAGTTCATCAGGAGATATAAAGTAGTCAGAACACCAAGACCCACTCTCCAACTCGCCCCTAAGAAAGACGTATACATCAAGCTACCCTATATGGGGCATCAAAACAGCTTGATAACTAGACAAAGACTGAACGCTGCTGTCAAAAAGACTTTTTGTGCAGCCAATATCATAATAATAGAGAATGTAAAGCCAATATATCTATCTAAGCCCTTCGAACATGCGAAAAATGACGTCACATCCCACTGTATTTACCAGTTTGAATGTACGTGTGGACACACATACATAGGGAGGACTCATCGATCTCTGCAAGTAAGGGCTTCAGAGCATATTCCTAAATGGCTCCAGAAACAAATGGAATCTTCAGAACCCATTAATGGTGAGAACAGGAGACCTAGCTCCTCTATTGCAAAACATATTATAGAAACAGGACATAAAATTGACGTTAACAGATCTTTTAAACCTATCTATAAAACGTGTTTGGGGCGTATCCTAAAGTTTGTGGAAGCCCTAGCAATTAGAAAGTTTAAGCCACCTTTATGCGTTCAAAAACAATTTGTCATCACATTAAACCTTCCTTGGTAAATTTTGTTTTGACACCATAGCAGATGTACTATTACCTCTGTTATTTGGTTTAGTGGTCTTCATTGTTACTTTGACCTTGAATATGTCCTTTTAACTTGACCTAAGTCTATTTTTCTCACCTCTTACCTCTTTATTAATTTCATATATATTCCTATGACAAGTCCGTGTGTGATCAGATTGTTCGAAATGTGTTGCGCAAATACATTACACGATTCAGACAAATTACGTCTTCTTATTGCTTTATCTAAATTTTATATTCATTGGACCTACAGTCGCTGATACAAAACAGTAGTAAGATTCTGGTTGTGACATTTTACATGAGGGCGTATTTGATTATGTGAACAAAGCAAACGGTTTTAACCTTAGTGTATATTATTTGTGTCCGTACCTGATTCATATTATCTAAAGTTTCAGTCATTTCAGTGAAATGCGTAACTTCACTTTTGTGAAGCTTTCGTATTCTTAGATTTTGCCAAACGGAATATTTACACAAGTTAATTATCACCATGAGATGTAATTTTTCTTACGATGCGTATAAACACAATGGTACTGTGCCACTGAAAATACCTTTTGTTTTTAAATTTTAGTTGCAACCCATACCATATCATATATACTTACAATATAACTTGGATAAACTTGAAAAACTGTATTCAAAAGTGAAGTAAGCTTTGCGTTTCAGTTTGTTATTCACCTATAACTGTATTACACACTTTGTGCGTCGGTGGCACAGTGGTTAGAACTCTCACCGACCATGCACATGGTCCGGGGTTCGATCCCCTGCCGACGCACACCTGATATCTATGGTCGGCCTGCAAAGTTTGGGCTACCGATATCACATGCTGATAATTCCATACCTGTACCAAAAATACGGTGTGGATTCAAGCTGTAATCAAAATAAAAAATGCTAAGTAATTCAGTCAAACCATTCACTTATCACTGAGCTTGAAACAATATTGGAGCAATACTAAGTGTTACGCTTTCAGTGCGACAACAGATGCCAAGGCAAAATGTCTGTAGTGAGTGTGCCCATGGGTCAGTGTTGTCTACCATGCATACTGTCCGAAGTTCGATTCTCAAGATGGGTAGACAGGGGAGGTTGAATGTGAGGCTAGCAATCCAATCCAATCAAGATAACTTGTATGTTGATTGAAAAGTCAGTTGAAGCAGAGACGCGTGAAGAAAACAGAGAAGGGAGATATTATTATCTGCAAATTGTACTACATATGTAAGCCTTATGATGTTCTCAGTAAACATTACTTCCGGCCTCTCGAGTTACCTTCATATCTGGATCATAAGTCCTCACTCATTGTATGGTTGTGGGATGAAGTTAATGTTTTGAAAAAGACAAAACAGCTTTGTTTGTGTATGAAATTTCCTATACTTCTTGGGATAAACTGGTTGTTAGTTTCTTTTCAGCAACTTCGAACACCGATAAGTGTCTCTTCACATTAATCTGCTTGGTGCTTCACAAATGATATTTGTCTCAACTGAACATTGAGAAAATACTTTTTGATAGTTTTAAATTTTTAACTCAGATATACTGCACAAGACGACATTATGATCACTCAGGTTTCTTACTTATTCGGATATACATTGTACTCTTGAGAATGAGCGTAGAACGGTTCTGTGCAAATTCTAACCAAGTGTACTGTATTTGTACTGAAAGCCATCCAGTCTTTAGAAGTGAACATAGATCTCAGCGGTATTTTTCTACTGGATTTATTTCCGTAGTTCAGAAGCAATTTGTGTTTATTCATTAAGTCATTTTGCTCATTCAAGTAAGACATATTGAAGCATGTTTTTCGTTTCAGTTTAATTTCTCAAGTGGATTTGTCAGTGTCAATTGAACAAAAAAATTTCCTGGAAGACTTATGCAACGCATTGAAGTAAGTTCCTGTCTATTTACGATTCTAATCTACTATATATATATATATATATATATATATATATATATATATATAAGCTTAGAATCCCGCACGAAAGTGTATTCGTTAAATTTGTCGCATTTCAAAACGGTATAATGATCACATTGAAACACTTGAAAACCCTGAACGAACAAGTCATAAATAGTTAGATACTCCAGTCAAATGCACACTGTGTTAATTTGTAAACTATTCTTCAGCTGTCGTTCCTTATTATCTTAGAAATCGTTCCCAAAAAATGAATTCATTCCGAAGTTCAAGCTGATGTTTGACTAGTTTATGTATCGGTGTTGTGCATCGTTCTAGCTACAACCAGTGTCTTTACACTGAACTCTGAAAGCAAATCAAAGGTAATTTTCTTAGAGAGAGATAATTTGCTCTCAATCAGCAGGAGAACAAACAGAGGTTAGCGATACTGTGGAAGTTTTGTTTTTTAATGAAGAGAAGATTCTCGTGCATGAATGTACTCAATACTCATAGCTTTGGAAGTTAGCAGATTTTTGGAATACAGGAAAAGGGCTACGACTAAGGTATATTTACTTGAGATTGGTTATATGACATATATTCAAATAACTGGAACTTGACACATATACATTATAACAACTGTAGCTTAACAGGGTATCCAGGACACTCATGGCGTCCACTTACTAGGCGTTGCCTAGTGTAATGTTCCTCTTTCAAGGTTTGAGCAGTTGGAGCGTGTCACTGAGTATTTTCGGCACTAATGATTCAATTTTCTACCATGTTTTCGGAGACTAGCTTTTGTTTGTTGTCCAATGTAATGTTGTCCACACTTTCGCACTATTGTTTGGTTGGGTATTTTGCCTAGATAAAAAGGTGAATATAAAAATCTCTACACAAACTCATCAATTCTGTTTGCTACAGTCTTTAATAGTTCACGAAGTAGGACCCATATGTTAGGTAATGCAGTCAACTAAACTGTCTTGGCCTCAGAATAATCTAACCTAAGACAACCTAATTGCCAATATGTTCTAACTTTCCATCCAAGTATGTGAATAGTAATGCAATCACATCGTAGCCTGAAAGTTCTCGGTTCAATCTTTTTTCGTCGGTTCACGCTAGTAAGGAGTCTAAAAGTAGGCGGAAACAACCATCCAGTGCTCAGTACGTGGTATCGCTTGATGGCGAAATCCACTTTGACAGGAAACGAATTCTCATGAGCCAAGTATGTAATGACTTCATGTATTGGTGGCGTGTTTATTTTTGTGTTCAACACAATCTCGTTACTAATCCACCATTACTCCAGCTATAACTATCTGTAGAGGAAGTCACTATCTCTGTTATAAACAGTTCCTTTGTTTATCTATTTATTGTACTGGCACATTGTGCTACCAATCTTTCACTAAAAATGATGTCATCAGCTGTGCTGTATTATAGTTTATGAACTACGTATGTAATAAACGCAACAGTCCTTATTGGTCGGTCATATTAAAGGGATGTTTTTCCTATACAAACTAACTTCGTGTAAACTTGTTCCGTACTAATCTCTCTATGTATAGGTACTCAAGGTGGATTAGTGTATACCTTGACATACGTTTTAAATGAAAATAAAATAGTGAAATGTAGTAATTAAATTTATTTTGCCATCAGTCGGAAGAGTGGATAATATTTGTAGCTCAGGTGGGTGGTTTTCATGTGGTTGCGTTCTCTGACTTGGTTTAAGTGGTTTAAGTGCGATGCTTTCATTGACCTTCTAGATAACATCTTGAACTGCTGCACATTGGTGCAAAGTTCTATATCGAAAACAGACAGACAGACAGACAACAACTTAAGCGAAAACTTTAGTGTATAAAGTGAACTTATACGAATTTCTCAGTTACAGTTGATTTTGTGTGCTGTTGGATTACTGCTATTGTAGCTGGGTAGTTGGCCTGTTTGGGCTGATTTTCTGCATACCTGTGTTTCTAGAGCAGATTTATTGAAAATCAGCGGATATCAAGTAGTTGTTTTGTCTCTTTAGCAGTGTGCATACTCATGGTGCTTTGTTGGCGTAGTTGTAGTACATTTTGTGCCATTCGACAGGATGCATCTAGGCTTTCAATTCTATGTAACTGTAACGTGTTAAGTCGAATCCTTTTTGACATCTTTTTCTATATAAGGAAACGTATTGATCGAGAAAATGCAACTAATCGGAAACTCAACATGGAACTTGCAGATCTCTCTAAGCAGATGGAAAGCATGAAACTTGAAAATCAAAGTTTATCTATTGCTGTAGCGCAGTTAAAAAGGGATAAAATTGGTTTAACTACTTTACAATCAGAAAATGTGGTAAGTATAGATTTATGTTTGCTTATGAATAGATAGGCTACCTAAACAGAAGTGGTATATGTATGCAATTTTCCGTCCGAAATATCCTTAAATTAAGATGTAGAGTTCTAGTACATACTATTCGGAAATGTAATTAGCTTTTTATGTTTTTAGTTAGTAGTTATCCAGTTACTACCAGTCTCATGAGAAGTGTGAACGGCAGATGCTTCGTTACTCCTTGGAAGCCGTTGCTTCGGAGAATAAAATCCATATATGTTGTGAAAAGGTCATAAAATATCATGAATTCACTATTCACAATACATTAACTTTTGCATTATAGTTGAACATGATGTCAACTTCACCTATTTGGCTAGTGGCATCAGCCCTTGAGAACTGACTGCTGATAAAATCTCAGCGTGAATGCCAAGTTGTGTCAAATTTGGTCAAGTGTGATATCTGACTGTCCATATCCACCCCATCCTAATTTAAGGCGGAGATATGGCCGTTGAAGATGTGAGACATGAAAGTTAGGCTGTATTTAACCATGCGTGGCTGCGTTTACAGTCTTGTTTTAGGTGTTACTGTGTAATTAGTAACAGTGATGTTAAGCGTAGAGTGTTGTGTAAGCATAGTAGTCAATCGATAACGTTGTGAAGCTGTATAGACTGCGACGTGTAGGACATGTTCAAAGCAAAACCACCGCCATCCTTGATGGGCAGTTAACTGATATAGGAATAAGTCGGAAAAGAGTCAAAGGTAGTCATACGAAAGCATGGCACGTATCCATAGAGTTTATAGCCCCTTCTAGGTAAGTCTTATTCACTGCCTTCACTATCCTAAAAAGTTCAATATCTGGCTGTTAGCACCGGGATAATGGACATGCGGAGTTCACGTAAAAGATCTAGCAAACTCTGGACCCAAACAAATGGTGCTCATAGACCTCAAAATCCGAGAAGAACGAATGATACTTGTATCTGCTTCTGGTCACCCACAACTATAAAGAATACAACTCGTGATGTTGCTTCTATATCTTGTGGACTTGAATTCAAAGGTCTGGGAATGTCCGCTTGTGATAACCATCTTCGGTCCGAGCGTTGTCGTATTATTCCAGCCATCGCGCAAAATGTTAACCGACAATGTATTGAGAACCATTGTTCATTCCTAATTTCCTACAATCTACTACTTTACGAACCTCACTGTTAACACTATCTTAATGTTATTATTGTTCCCGTGTATCAACTGCTTGGTTTCATTCCCATCTCTCCAATTGTTTTTTGTCTTCATTTTCATCGGCTTCTCATAATAGTTCGGAATCTGAGTCTATCTCTTCCCTTTTGGGTCGTAAAATAAGTGCTTCCGGAGACTTACCCACACTCCCGGTATAATTTTCTGACAGCACGTCCTGCTTTATCCTGTGATCTACAGTGTTTGCATACTGATGTGAATTGGAAAGCATGCAGGTTTAAGTAGAGTTTTGGGAAGCCTCTTAGAGACACATACCAAACCCTGTTGCAGTGCTTCGACTAATTTATTAATTCGTCTGCTTTAAAAGTATGTCTCCTGTATGATCTAAGTACCATGAAGTTTCGGTACTCTGACTAACCACTGGTACTGTCACGTTAAGGACGAGAGTTGCGGCTGCATTACTCAATTGTCGTTTATGCTCTACTTAACCAGAGTGCTTAATTGGGGTAAAAAGTAACCTATCACTGAGTCGTCCTTTCGTCATCCCTGGTTGCTCACTTATTGATTACAGTCCGGATACATTTAAGGATGAGTTCTACCATCAGGTGTGTAACCTCACCCAAGTGCTATGTGCGTATGTTGTAGTGCTAGGTGGAAACGTGAATGCATAACTCGACCATCTTAGCTAAAGATACGTTGTTTAGGTGATCAATAGGGAACAACTGATCTGTGGCCAGACAATGGTGCCTGCCTTCTACAAATCTGTGCAAGTTACAAACTACCTCGTGCTAACATCAACTGCTAGTACAACTATTACCGTTGTCCGACCTTGCGTTCATTTTCCACTCAAAACCAGGCTCAAGTAGATCACATTGTTATTAATAACTGATAATTCGGTGGATACAGGGTTACCGCTCATATTATCCTTTTGAGTGTCGCACATTCTCTCGTTATTTTGGTAAACACTATAAACGTTATCCCGAAAATAAACTAATGTAAGTAAATAATTTGCACTTAATTGTACAGCAGAATACCAAACCAAGATGCGAGACTAGTTGTTGGTTTGCCAAAAACAAAGGCACTTACAAGACAATACTAAAGTAGCGAGTTAAAGCACTTGAGGCTTGGAAGATTTCCACATTAGCAAGCACTCGGCTTCTGAAAATTTCTTGAAACTTTATTAGGGGTATATGCATACCACCAAACAGTGTGGCGTCTGCTGGTACTAGTTGGAAGCAACACTCGGAAGTTGTTTCTGTTCATCTGAGTCACTCGCAGCGGGTAGCTTGGCGTCACTGAGACTGTGAGGCTGATTGTAACCCATAAATTTACATCTATCACTGCATATTATTTTAAAAAGGTATGGTTAACCTGCATTGTTTGTACCCGCAACAATCGTGAACAGTGGTTGGCGACAAAAGACAAAAATGAAAAAGGCATCCGCAGTAGTTAAAAGCAGACTGTTCAAGTTTACTAGGGAAAAAGGTTGTAAAAAGCAAAATAATGAACCAGACAATCTCCGAGAAAAGCGGCACTTAAATTACTGCTCGGGAGAGAAGACTGAAATGTTCGTTGGACATTTTGAGGGACATTTTAACTGGCCTACAGCCACTCTCAACTTGCCCAACATCCAACCCTTATCTGAATGGGATGTGAATATCAGTCCTCCAACTATAACTGAAGTTCCAAAAGTTATCTCTAATTTGAAACGATGCAAAGCAGTGGGACCTGATGGAATGACTCCAGAGGTGTTTAATTATAGTGGTGGTAAATTCTTTTGGGTTAATCAAAGTATAAGGTCTTGAGTAGGAATCTGGCATAGTCCTGCGGGACTAGTACAGGTCATTGATTGATTTGTAAGGAAGGATATAAAAATCCTTGTGATAATCAAGGGAGCATTAGCTTAACTAACGTAGTATTCTAAGTTCTAAATTGAGTTGGTTAGATGCAGTCAGCAGGAAGCCCTGGACCTAGGTTTTTTGCTTGTTGGCACTCGTCAGCAAAGCTTATCTGCAACCTTGAGTGAACTCATGTCCCTTCCGAGATTCGAACCCCTGTCACATTGGTGCAGCTAGGAATGCTATCACTGAGCTATTGGGGTTCGTGGTTGGCTACCTGTAGAACTGTATTGGGTACTGTGATTGGACAATGAGTAAAAACCAATGTCATCTCTGTAGGCCGTTGGTTTAGGTCCAGACTGAATTCCTTTCAGTTAGGTTTGCAGGTATGCCCCCACCGACGCACTCCTTTACTTCACTAAGCCAGCAATATGACTGGTAAAGAGGGAAGGTTGGGCATAAGGCTAGCAACTACATCCCGTAAAAATAAAACACCACTGTTACCGAAACTTCAAGCCTCTAGTTAGAGAGCCTATGCTCCACTGGGAACGTAAAGGACAAACTCCAAAAAGCTGGAAACCTAGGTTCGGGGCATCCTGCCGATTTCCTCCAAACATTTAATAACAGCATTCATAGTGCACTGTAATGGCGAGTTAGTCAGCTTGCTGACCACAGTTCGAATCTGACTGTTCGAATTCAGTCTCCCCCTAAACCAAGGACTGAAGGCATGATATTGGTTATTACCTGGTGGCCAATCAAAGTAGAATTCTAGATGTTATAACTCGATGTGGATTAAGCGGTGCTCTCAAGAAACAAAACCTGTAAAAACCAGGTGGGATTTAGACATAAGAAAGGGTGTTTTAATCATGTCTTCATGCTTTGACAGATTCTCAAACATAAGCATACTTCGCTGTACTCAAACGCTTGGCATATTTCTTCATCGGAAGGCGACGTTCGACTCCTTCGATAGAGGGGTGTTGTGGCAATGTTTGGCCATGAAGGTAGTGCCGAAAAGGATATCTCGCTAGTCAAGGCATTCTTCTCAAACTCACTCAGTGGTATAAAAGGTTATAGAGAGTTGTCGACAGACGTGATGACAAACAGCTTAGTGTCTTTCATTGATGCCCACTGTCCTTGTTTTTGTTTCATTTCATTATTATTATTTCCTTTAATTCCTAGAGGAACATAGGGCTTCAGCCGCACGTCTCCATTGCGTTCGATTCTCTGCCAGAGTTTTCACCTGGCTCAAAGTCTTCCCACATGCTTTCATCTCCTCTTCACATGACCTCCTCCAAGTCACCCTTGCACTGACGACCAACTCGCCCTTTCCCATTCGGGTTCCACTCGAGGGCTTGTGTAGTGATGTCACTTGATGGTTTCCTCGGAGTATGGCCAATCCACCTCCATTTCTTCCCGCATATTTGTTGCACAATCGGTTCCTGCTGGGTTGGTTCGCTCATTGCCAGAGATCCCACTCTGTTGCTGATCTTTCCAGGCCGGCCATCTGATTTTGAGTACTGAGCGAAGACAGATGTTGATGAAAGTCTGTAGTTTGTTCGAAGTGCCCCTCGTGATGCGCCAAGTCTCTGACATCACATTGGAGTTGAAAATCCAGACCTTATTTTTCAGGCTGTTGACCTTCACACAGACTTGAGAGAAACGAAAGATTGCCTCGCTTTCCCAATCCTCGCTTTGATATCCTCGTCAGTTCCGTCCACCTGTAGTTGAAACAATGCTTCACAGGTCGGTGGGTAAAGGACGTTGTTTCTCTCAGGTTCCTCCCATTAATGCTGATTGTTGTCTGTTGTTGTTGCTGTTGGTGTTGCTCAAGAATCTTCATCACTTCCGATTTCTCTATGATTACTTGGAGTCTTATCTTTGATGCTTCTTCTGCTAACTTGTTGCTTTTCACTTGCATATCTTCAAGTTTGTAGGAAATCAGGCATTTATCATCGGCGAAGTCCAGATCCTCCAAGTTTTTTGTGTGGGTCCATTTTATGCCTGTTTTCTCGCTGCCCGCTGTCTGTCACATTATCCAATATACCGCAATCAGGAAAATCATTAGCGATAGTAGGCCTCCTTGCCTTACTTTCGTCTTCATTTCGAAGGATTCCGTAAGTTTCCCGTTGTGGATTACTTGGCATGCAGCATTGTGGTATAACTGTTGGATGAAGTGTATAATTGTTGGCATCACCCTGGAGTAGCGAAGTAGTTGCCAAAGCACCTCTCAACCGACGCTGTCGAAGGTCTTTTCAAAGTCGATGAAGTTGAGATAAAGAGGTGACTGCCATTCCAGGCTTTGTTCAATGATGATAATATACTGATAATACACATAGCTATCTGCTTGGCACTTTGTGTCTGTCTAACACTAACTAACATCTGCAATTGGATATATTGATGGATTTACATGTTCAAGTTGGCTCAAGTCATTTCATCATAGATGTACTAATGGAATTTAGCGACTCAACTGCTTAATTTTTACCAAGGAGCAGACATTTCGACATAGAGTATGCGGATGATGTTGTCCTTCTTGGGGAATAAATTTGAGGTTAGGCGTGAAGTGTTAGGTGAGGATATAAGTCAACTGAAATGTTTGTGAAGCTGCATTAATTAAGATGGCTGGGATGCGTGTCATTCTCATGGAGTGTATTTATTTGAACTGCAGCGCTTTTTTGCAGTGTTATACGATGAAAACTCAGCTCAATTAAAAACCTTGTGTGCTGTTCTCTCCATCATCAATATGCCTTTTAGTCAATTATCCTCAAAGCAATTTAATTGCTCTAAGTGGTTTATTTTTTCATTGAATTACTCTGCTAACATATATTTGTCATTGAGATAGCTAGTTAGTGAGAAACGGTTGAGTTAACCAGAAAGTATCCGGTCTGTCGACTGACTTTTCGCTATTCTCTAATTTGATTCTCTTACGTAAAGCATCAATCTCGAGTAGTAACAAGTACTTTTCATACTTTCTGTGACTTGTTTTCTCTTCAGGAAGTAATTAATCGAGTGAGTCAATTAGAATCAGAGTTGAAGCATTGCCAAAAGAGAAATGAAGAAAATTCTGAGCTTATTGAATCTCTCCGAAATCATTTGAATGAATCAAATAAGCGTTGTAAACAGTTAACTCGATATCTATCTGTAAGTTACCTACCACTTCTATTCTCATGTTGTAATCATGTGTTAGTTTGTGCAGATTATTGTTTTTTCCAAAGGGACTCATCGTTTCCAGTATAGGTCGATAAGTGCGCCTGTCTAATGTTACTCATCATAAAGAAACACCTTGAAATTTTTCATCTGAAATGAATTTTGTTTTCATATTATACATCTTATTGTATGCCTAAAAAGAAATAAGATTAATATCTGTTATATTATGATTTACGTACCGATGCAGTCAAAATGTATTCTCAGCGCCAGTATGTTTTAACCTTAGAACTTAAGCACTTCCTCTTAAACGACCATTTAAGCATTTTTAAAAATTGTCTACACTGCTCAGATGAACAGCCTGAAACTTCCTCGAGTGTGGACTCCTCAAGTTATTTTCCAAACTAAGCGTACTTTATTTCGCTAACCAAGCCTTATAGTTTTGGTCTTAGATTACTTGGGATGTGTTCAGCTGTGGCCAGAGTTTAAGTTCTTTGTCCAGTATTCCACCTAAATTACATTTTAAAATTGAACAAGTACGAAGTAGCCTTAGATCTCTTGACGTGTTGTGTCTGTTCTTGTGTTTGTCGTCATTGTGTGAACGGTTCCCCTTACTTACCTTGATAAAACTAAAAGAAGATTACCTATCGAGGGAAAATTTCTGCATCACCTAAATAGTTTCCAGATACGAAAAAAGTAACAAAGTAGAAATCAAAAGGATGATGGAGGCACGATGGGGTAATGGGGGACTGACAGGTGAAAAAAACATATGAATACAGATGATGGAGGTTATGCATTATGCGAAAAGTTTTAAATTATCTAATGCTGACTCCATACTCATGAAACCAAACAACATACGGTCGGAATGTGCTAAATATGATGCTTGTTATTTTGTATTACCAACTTTTTCTGACCACTTCTGTGAAAACAGAAGCATATCTGCAATGAAGGTTAGGTGGATATTCTGAAGCGAAGTCCAGCAGTCAGTAGGCACTATTCGGTAAACAGTACTGCTTTACTTTTAACTGGGGATGCAAGTAGTACATAGTGTGTGTGATATCTTTCAGAAAGTATATTTAACAAGTAATCCCACTTGAGAAGAAACAAGAGATTTAAACTTGATCTATTGAAGATAATCAAAGAAGTAATAGGAATATCTAGATTATAAAGTGTCAATATATTAATTGCACGAAGTGAACCGAAAAAAATAGTTTTATTGATTTCATCAGTATTCATTGTTATCCATTGCAAGTACAATATTGTCTGTCTTAAACATTCTTGCTTCTTCATGACCAAATATCTTTAAATAGGGAATACTGTGTTTATATATCCAACAAACAGTTATTCCATTTTTTTTCCTTCACGTCCCCCAGTGGAACATAGGGCTTCAAGCTAGTGGCTTGAAGTTTCTGTAGTAGTGTTTATTTTACAGGATGGGGTTGCTACCCTCATGCCTAACCTTTCCTCTTCACCAGCATCATTATTCCTAGCTTAGCGAGGTAAAGGAGTGCGTCGGTCGGGATCCGAACCCCGGACCATGTGCATGGTCGGCGAGCGTTCTAACCGCTATGCCACCGACGCACTAAAAGGGTTCGAACCCAGGACCTTCTGGTTACAAGGCAAGCTTGTATACCGTTCAGCCACTGAGACCCATTATCAGCAAGTCATTAGATGGTAAATTCATCAGATCACCTAAGGCATTTACTTCAATCGAAAGCATTAGATTTGATGTTATCACTAGTTCGTTATACATCATAGACTAGTGTAACTGAAGTACAGTAACATTGTACGCATACAAAATTTTCGTTATTTCCACTCGTTTCTATTTTTGCCCTAATAAGTACACCTTTGTCTGCCTTTGCATCATATCTTGATTGGTGAGGGTAAATGGAGAGATATAAGTATAAAACTTGGGCACTGTGGTAGAGTATAACTCCATTATGGATAAGATTTTATTTTGATAAATCACACAGTGTTACACAGTAATATTAACTGATGATGTTTCGAGCACAAATTATTGCTCATAATCATATCAAGTTGTGTGAGTAACTTGATATGATTATGAGCAATAATTTGTGCTCGAAACATCATCAGTTAATATTACTGTGTAACACTGTGTGATTTATCAAAATAAAATCTTATCCATAATGGAGTTAAATGGAGAGAGTTATGTATTATTATAATACTAGATAAAAGAGTGTTTCTTTAGATATTTTAATATATTTGTGCGTTGAAGTTTTTGTTACAGTTTGGTTAAGTTTTGGGGGTGGACTTGCTGGCACCAAGCCCCAACCCTCCCTCTTTATCCGGGCTTGGGACCAACTAGAAAACTAGTGAGCTAGTAATCTAGGCGACGTTCAAGGAGTGCGTCGGCCGGGGATCGAACCTGGGACCATATGCATGGTTGGCGAGCGTCCTAACCGCTATGCCACCGACTCAATTACAGGAGGAACGGACGAAGATGTCAAATCGAGAATCGAGAAGTCGAGAAACACATTCATCAACCTGAAACCAATCTGGAAATCTTCACCACTCAGCATCAACAATAAAATTCGGATTTTCAACACAAACGTCAAGTCATTTCCTCTATACGGATCAAAAACTTGGCGGGTCGCAAAGAATATTTCCAACAGGTTGCAGACCTTTATCAACAGCTGTCTTCGTTCTATGCTGAAGATAAGATGGCCGGAAAGAATCACCAACAATAAACTATGGGAACAAACAAAACAGGAACCAATCGCTCAAAAAATATGCAGGAGAAAGTGGAAATGGATTGGACACTCACTGAGGAGGCCGTTGGGTGACATCGCACGTCAGGTCCTCGAGTGGAACCCGAAAGGGAAGAGGCGAGTGGGATGTCCAAGGGTGACATGGAGGAGATTATGTGAAGCGGAGTTGAAGCAGTATGGAATAACATGGATGTAAGTGAAAAGCACAGCAGAAGACAGAAGCAAGTGGAGACGTGCAGTTGAAGCCCTATGTCCCACTAGGAACCCAAGGGAACAATAATAATAATAATAATAGATAAAAGAGTAGTGTTCATATTTTGTTGTCCTCATAAAGCAATAGGTATATACTTACCATTGCTAGTGTTGTTGCACTTTGGTGCACTGTTTTAATTATAATGATATATCAAATTACACTTGTTATTCATCACTTCACTACTTTCAGATTCATCTAGTTTTTTTTTAAAAAAAAACTGAATTTTTCTTACTGACATTCAGTGTACTTGCACTTTGGAGGTGATCGCTTTTTGTACATGTCATTGTAGAATAGAAACTCGAATTGTTTGTTAGTCTTATATTGTGAGATACACACCCACCTACTGCTGATTGATTATGAGTAATTGAAAATCTCTGAAATCAGTTTGTAAGTGTTCATCGACAAGGCTAATGTGTGTTCTAAGGACTCAAAGTTTATTTCTCTAATTGTAGACCACCGACTTTATCAGCATTGTATCTGAAGTGATCGGGGTCAATGAATCTAAGCGTTCAAGCTAATTCAAAATTGTCACAGTTACATGGGCAGGCTGAATAAGGATACCTAGGGACTAACTTAACACTACGGAACTATTTATGAAATAGTTATCTGGTGTTACTGAACTTTCTCCTATTTCTGACATTGAAGTAAAATCTACTGAGAAAATGTTTTTGCTTATGTCAGCCTACTTCTTCTGTTTACCACCTGAGAAAAGATTTTAGTAGATCTTATGAGAATAATAATGATTTGCTTTAAATTAAACATTGTATTTATATTTAACAAAGAATTCATAAGACCAATCAGTTACTGTTAAATTTATCCTAGAAAATTTATTCTGTAATGTAAAGTGTGTGATCTAGAAGGGGATGACTAACTGGAAACTAGAAAAAGGTGGCAGAAGTTGGGATGACGTCTAGCCTGGCTGACCAGATGACAAAAGAGGAATACCAGCAGCGCCATCCTCGAACACCTTGTCAACTCTGGGTATCGAGCACCCCTGCATGACTGCTTCACATTTCTATACAGAGTTCCTCAATATCGCACGAAAGGACTTCGAATACGTCATCTGTTCATAGCTGAATCATTGGCTATTCAGGATCTGAAACCGGACACCTTTGTTCAAAAGCACTACACACATTCACTCGCCCACCGTGGGCAGAGTAACGTTCTTACTAAAATTTTGCTTCATTTTATTATGGAAGTTTATTATTATTATTATTCTCATCATCCTTGTTTTGTATTATTATTATCATCACTGTGTCACTATTTATTAGTAACACTGCACTGCCATACAAATTTCATTAAAACGCTTTATTGTTTTTCCACTAGTATTTGTTCACTCTACACAATTATATTGATTAGTTATTTTTCACACTTATTGCATCATCCTAACTTATGCCCGCTTTTTCTAACTTCCAGTTAGTTATCCCCTTTTAGATCACACACACCTTACCTTGTGTAATACATTTTCTAAAACATTGTATTTGCCTAATTATTATTCTTTATAGGATTCTCAGTCCTCACTTGAGCATAAACAAACTGTGATTAAACAACTAGAGGCGAAATCTAAAGGTATGACAAGTATTATTGAACAGATGAAAGAAAGGTAAGCAATTTTCGTGGTACTTTTGTTGCGAATAATTTCATACGTATTTATCCTATCACCATAGGTTTTCACACTGAGAAACACAGAGCATTACGCACATTCAGTCTTCTTTTGTCACCTGTATACCATAACTTTCGTTGGCGCTTAAATTTCAGTTGTGTATTCCTGCAATATACAGAACTCCAGACAACTCGTCCATATGAGTCAGTCTGAATAGTTCACTTCAAGTGCGTAAATCTTGCCATAATTCTCTTTAAACAAAAATACTCAAATAAGAGTACAGTTTAGATATGATGGAGAAGATTTGTAGCTCAGGTGGATGATTTCGATGTAGTTGTGTTCTCTGAGCTGGATAGTGTATTCGCGAAGCTTTCGTTGCCTCACTAGGCAACATCTCCAGTGCATACTTCCATTTGAAGTGAGCTTTTAGATTTCTCCTCGAGTTTATTAGTTATATGACTACAGCAAATAGATTTCGGTTTATTTAGCTTCTTGTGGATTATTACTATGATGAGGTTTGTTTAGCATGCACTGCTCAACTAAAGTAATTTGAGTATTTGCTCATGAATTTGCGTATAAAAACTCCATAAATCAATAGCCTACTTAGTTTGATAAGCATTGACATTTTTGATTTCAGTTAGAATACATTGAGTGCAAAATATTCCTATTTTTTATATTTCACAAAGTTATAATATGAAATTGTCGGTAAACATTCGATTTCTTAGATTTAGCTTTATAAATTCCATCATAGTATAATTTTGTTTGGATAAAATACACACTGATTCAGTAGTGTTTACTAATGACGTTTCTAGAGTTAACAATTTATCGATTATAATCCTATTGAGATCTGAATATGAGTATGTGCAAAATATTACAGTCTCTAAAACAATATTTCTGTTGTATGTATTCGATGTAAACACACGTGTCAGATCTCAGAGATCCGAAACAAATTGTCCACATACTGAGCTATGAGACATTTATTGTGCGAGGGTTAACGATACCACCTCGCTGCCCAGACTGAAGTAGCACAGAGTTGAATGCTTAAGCAAACAAAACACATTTCGATAGTGTAAACTTGTAAACTTCGGCAATTAAATACGAATTACTCCGGTTTCACTGCTATGAAAAAACTTACTGTCTTCTCATTGAAGCTTTTATATATATATATAATGGTTTGCTGTTTTGTCACTGTCTGACTGCTTGACAGGTGGCGTTTTTAACTCACAACGTTGTACAAATATACTACCGTTCAAGTTGACACACTGCATGTATCACACAAAGGTAGAGAGTAGAGAGAAGGAAGAAATTCAAAGGAACTCTAATGAGCAGAAATGTAGGCGAGAGGGAATAGTAAGATGGGAAGACACGAGGGTTCAGTGTAAATGGGAGATGACAAAGCGTGAATGCATCTGAGCCATCGAGAAGGATTTTCAGTCATAGCACCAATAGTCTGCAGACATTGGTACTTATCATCGCGATGTCTCCAAACAGTCGGTCTATACCTGGCTACGTGACTGAAACACCAACAGTGAAAGACTGCATGGATTGTTGCCAGGTTTTGGTTTGACCACCGAGAACTCCTTTCCAACCTAATCCTGTGTCAGGTGACATTGCTCGTGGAGGAAGGCAGGCGGTGAGGTGGCTCGTCATGCGCAACACATGTCCTAGCCGTGTCAATCGGTGCAGCTTGACTGACAACTTCATCTATCGACTCCCCTTCCTCACCTATCACTGACTCTACGCCTAACCTCAATATGTGTCACCATATTATACCACTCTTAACTAACACGAGAGATAGAAGGCAAACCTCTGTGCTCAAAGACAGCTAGCCTCTTCATCATATCTGCGACTGTCAATGGCCATGTCTGACAGTCAGCCATTAAGAAGGAGAGAACCAACTGCTTTGTAGTGAACTCGTCTTTTCACCGATAACCGGATATCACGTGTACACCAGAGATGACGTACGTTGTCGAATGCCACACCAGCCTTTTGTATCCGTGTTGAGATTCCGTCGGAAATCAACCCATTAAGCCTGATGCAACTTCCCAAATAAGTAAGGTGTTCAACATACTCAGACTCGGAGTCGGTGGGACCCAGTCATACAGCATCAAATTTCGCTCGCCATGGACGCATCAAATTGTAAATATTCTATGACTGCTGCTCATAGTGTTTAGAAAACTACATGCCATCATTGTTTTCATGGGGATTGAAGCATCATCCCTATTCTGTAAATCAACGACAGTGTTGCCTATTAACAAGTCAACCTCTGTTTCCGTAAAACCAATTGGCACACATACATGTGTGATGAATCTATAGAAATTTGAGACACAGGGCATCGCTGACGGACACCTTTGGTTGTCATCACTTCAGATGATAACTTTCCATAAGGTCTCGCACGGCTTCGTTAGTTCGAGTAGACTAGAATTTACCTCCCCTGCACTCTCCTCACGACCAGACAACTGCCACAGTACCTCTCGGTCAACCTAGTCGAATATGGCCTTAGGGATGAGAAATATGGCAAGTGTTAGTCACCAGATATTCTTCGGAGACCGACTGGAAGGATGGTTACATTGTGAAACTTCCAGTATAGAGCGATTTTAGCCTATGCCAGAACTGGTGCACATCCATAATACTCTCCACCCTAGCCTGCATCCTCCTGAAGCAACTGAAAACATGTCTTGATTGGAAGACTTCTGTTAGAAATGGATGGATTCAAGAATGAGAAGTCATGTGCGAACTTACCATGATGGCATACTTCAAGTAACTCACAACGGAAAAATTAGTGAAGCGTTTGAAGTGAAAACATGAGGAAGTAAATCCTGCTTACGATCACCACCCCCTCTCTTTGTGGTGGACTGGGTCGATCAGCCTACGGTGGTGAGTGAGAGGACAGGTTTACAAAAGTAACTTTAGAAGATGTGAATTTCGCAGATGATTTATGTCTCATGTTACACGACCTCAAAGGTCTAAAAGCAAGCTCAGAGAAGTTGACAGTAAATTAAGACAACACATAAGCTCAGGTGAATGTAGAGAAAACAGAGGTGATAAATAAACAGTAAGTACCATCACTAGGAGATATTTGAAGAAAGTTACTTCTCCCCTTTACATGAGAGGCATCGTTTCAACTATAGGCAGTGTATATCAGGATGTCAATGACAGCTTGAATCGGAAATGGAGAGAAATTTTAGTTCTTTACTCTAAAATTGGTGTCGAAATATTGAATACTCTGCACAAAGAAAAGATCCTAGTTTACGACATCGTCATCAAGTCGTGCGCGTTACTTAGAGCACTTCCAAAATACTTCTGTCGACCTCTAACAAAAGCTGTCTTTTCTTGATACTGAAGATCAAATGGTCAGCCAGAAATGATAAACAGCAAATACTTTTAGCGGGCAGAGAAACCAGTCAACAACTTATACACCAGCAAATATGCAGAAAGAAGTGGAGTTGGATTTGACACAAGCTGAACAGACCGCTGAGTAAAATCACATGCCAGGCTCTCCAATGCAACGCAATTAGGAATGGGTAGGTTGGGTGTCCGATAGTAATATGGAAAAGTCAGTGTGGATAGGAAAAGAACGCTTGTGAGTAGTTGTGTAGCCAGTTCAAGGGGATGTCAGAGAACCGAGTATAGTAGTTATATGCCCTTGTTGCTTTATGTTCTACTTGCAAGACGAGGAATGAATAATAATAATTCTTCAAAATATTGGAATCATATCATTACACATGCTTCTTTTCGAGTGTTAATATTCTGTTTATTTCTTCTTTCTCCTTCACTTTCATGCACAGAATATCCAATCTGAGTAATGATAAAGTTTCTCAGGAACGAGATCTGTCCATCTTACGTGAACAACTGTCCAACCTAGAGATGAAATATGATGAACAATCGAGAGTAATTGAAAACCAAGCAAATCAAATTGAAAGTTTGAAAGGTGAATTGCATCAAAAAACCACACAACTGAATGAATTGAAAGTTACTGCTGAAGAGTTGCCTGTCTGTAAATCTGTACGTGTTTTTTTTTAAACTTGAGTGTAATTCGCCCACCTGATGTACATATAACATGTTTTTTTTAATCCGAGTTTCTGGTCTTAGACGAGCAAACCTTACAGTTGGCGATTACAGTCAAATGGACTTTCTGCTTGTTGAAAATATAATTTTCAGGCTTGTTTGATCATTGGTCACTGAATAGGTGTGACATTACCTTAGTTTTTATTAAAAATTTGTATCATCCAACTAGGAAACAAAAGAATACTGCTCATATTGACGTTTTTTCATTTAGTGTTAAATAAAGAGATCCATGTCAAAATATACGCTTCTGTGCTGAAAATTCTTCTACTTATTTACATGTTTGAAAAAGATAAGAACTATAGACATATTTAAAATTTCAGTTATGTTCAGTGTACTTCTGGAGAATCGCCGTATATGTTTTGATTTGTCCCAAGTTAGTCACTGGAGTGATGTGTCTAGTCCTCTGTTTGGTGCAGGTTGAATTCTATCAGTCAGCAAGGACGACACCTCGGTCTCAGGCTTCCTGCCGATCGCTTCCAACTATCTGATATCATATCAACAACTCACAGTGCATCGTGATGGCGAGCTAACTACCATTGTGACCACATTGCAGACTTGACTGATAGAATTCACTCTGCACCAAATAAAGGACTAGACACATTATACTAGCTAATAATTTGTGTCCAATCAAAGTATCCAATAGAGTCTTACAGGAGGTCAATCGCGAGTCCGAATGGCTCAGTGGTAACGTCTCTAACCACAACACTGGGTGATACGGGTTCAAATCCCGAAAGGGATATGAGTTCCTTCAAGGTCGCAGTTACACGTTGCTAACGAGTGCCAACAAACACGAGACCTAGGTGAAAGGCTTCCTGCCTATTTCTTCCAACCATTTAACAGTGCTGTATATTCATGTATTGAAAGTCTTTTTTATGGCACATACCTTATGATAGTGCAGACTAGATTAAATAATGTGTTTCTGCTTTAAAATATTCCTTTTTGATTTTCGGAATATTTCAGTAACAATTTCAGTATTATCAAACTTGATCTTGTTATCTGGTAAAATCGATTATAAGCGTATTGCAGAGATTTTTCACTATCTAGTGGACTTCTTGGCAGTCGAATAAAAGTCTTATGGTTCCCATTTTTCATTATATATATATATATATATATATATATATATATATATATATATATATATATAAGATTTCAGTATATTGGATAATGTGACAGACAGCTGGCAGCGAGGAAACAGGCATAAAATGGACCCACACAGGAAACTTGGAGGATCTGGACTTCGCCGATGATATATGTCTGATTTCCCACAAACTTGAAGATATGCAAGTGAATAGCAACAAGTTGGCAGAAGGACCATCAAAGATAGGACTCCAAGTTAACATAGGGAAAACAGAAGTGATGAAGATTCCTGGGTAACAACAACAGACAACAATCAGTATAAATGGGAGGAACCTGAGAGAAACAACCTCTTTTACCCACCGAACTGGGAAGCATCGTTTGAACTACAGGAGGACGGAACTGACGAGGATATCGAAGTAAGGATCGGGAAAGCAAGGCAAGCTTTCATTACTCTCAAGTCTCTGTGGAGGTCAACAGCACTCAGTCTGAAAAATAAGGTCTGGATTTTCAACTCCAATGTGAAGTCAGTGCTACCATACGGATCAGAGACTTGGCGCATCACGAAGGGCACTTCGAACAAACTACAGACCTTCATTAACAGCTGTCTTCGCTCAATACTCAAGATCAGATGGCCGGCCTGAAAAGATCAGCAACAGGGATCTCTGGGAGCGAACCAACCCAGCAGGAACCGATTGTGCAACAATTATGCAGGAGGAACTGGAGGTGGATTGGCCATACTGTGAGAATACCACCAAGTGACATCACACGCCAGACCATCGCTCGAGTGGAAGACGAACGGGAAAGTGCGAGTTGGTCGTCAGTGCGAGGGTGACATGGAGGAGGTCATGTGGAGAGGAGATGAAAGCATGTGTGCAGAGAACCGAACGCATTGGAGACGTGCGGCTGAAGCCCTATGTTCCTCTAGGAATTAAAGGAAATAATAATTATATATATATATATGTAGGTTTTATATGTATATATAAATATAAGTTTTAAGGTTTCAATTTACTTGAGTTCTGAGTGAAACATAAGAATTCCTGCCTAATCTCTAAGGATTCAGTAGTGGTGTTGTTTTTCCAGGATGGGGTCGCTAGTCTCACGCCCAATCAATCGACCCTCTTGGCTGGCTTACTACTGGTTAAGGGAGATTTAAGGGTGTATCGGCGGTGAATCGAATCCTGGATCACGTGAGTAGTTGGTGAAATTTTCATCGCGGAAAAATGGATACTGTACACTGACATTCATATCCTTAATGTCTCTTACACTTATCTTTACTTTACTCAGAATCATTTTACTTATCGACAACTATTATCTTTCACTGATTATTCTGTTTTGATAGAATCGATGAAATATCTGATTTTTTTCTGATAAATAATAGTCAGACGTTCCACTGCTTCATTTTCATTTCTTCCTGCTCGTTCACTGTTTCATCATTAATCTTGTTTGCCTCCCTGAAAAAATTGTTTTCTTGTATATATCCTCAAAAATTATAGAAATGTAAACAAATATTACATAAATTGTAATCCTCAGTGTTGTATAGACTTTATATTACAGTCACACTTAATTATCAGTTCACTTTTCATTTTGCAGAATATTGAAGAGTTAACGAAACAGCTTACTAAATGGCGTAAACGATGTGAAGAACAAGAATGTAGCCTAACTGAAATGGCTGAAATTGTTAATTCAACTAAACTTGAAGCTGAAAGTCTTCGCGAATCACACAATGCGTTTAAAGATGCTCAATGGGCAAATGATTCAGAAAATCCCAACTGCTTTTTATGCCAGAGTGCATTCAGTGTTAGTCGTCGTCGGGTAGGCTGTCAGTTAGTCTCATTGTTTTAAATTTTTCATATTATGATTGTTTTTCTATGCAACATCTTTTTCTCCAAAGAACTTGATAGAAACTCAATTTTACACCATAATTTTATTTATCAGTTCGTTAATAGAATTATCTATTAGAGTTTCGCCAAATAAAGCCTTTCTGTCTTGTAACCATACCCTTTAAGTTATTAACCCATTAACTTTAGAATTTATCTGCTGAATATTGCTTTCCTAATTGCAATGAATAAGACACAAGATATGATTGAATGTTAATAGTGACAGGTATAGAATAGTGATGCAAGCGAAAATCATGAAAACGATGGATGGTACCCGAGTGCATTTGCATAAATACGAGTGAAACTAAGAAAGACCACAGGTTTCATTGATTAGTAACATCTGATATCTGTTGCTTAAGTGACGATTATCAGTTCAGTCACTTGTATAATGCCTAACTCTATGACGTTTAAAAAGACGATACATATTAGTTAGGTCTTCTTTTTGTTGTGCAATGCAGCCACATACATATTTTTTCAGTTGAAAACGCCCATATGGAGTGAAACACGCTACTTTGAAGTGTTTAGTCTGCATATACTTAGGATTGTTGTTTTGTTTTGTTTTCTGTGCTAACTTCCCCAGACATACATACATAGTACAGTTGCAACACATATATCCACTATCGTATTGTGTAACTGCTATTTTGCTTCTACATTCTATTAAATGAACTAATTTGTTGCTGTTGTTTAGCTTACTTCCTAGTCACAATGTTGTATTGTGAATAAAATAAGAATGGTAAAATTTAGTTGCCGAAAATATTGCAAAATCTATAACTATGCAATAGATAAGTCAAGCAATAGATATGTTCATCCTTTAATTAGTCATCATCAGAGTAGCCGCAATGATGTTCTGTTAAGACATAAAACCAAATGTATGTAAGTAGCTATTTTGTGGGAGGATGGTGCAAGAATTATATTCGAGCTTCACTACTTATTAAGTCTGATTAATTAGTGTATGGTATTGTTGGCGAAAATAGTTGCTTTTTAAGGCTGTGAACACCAAGTTGGAAATATTCCTTTTAGATAATATTGTTCAGTAAAGACCTGTCAGTTAATTAATTAGTTAATAGGCTAGTTAATTAGGAATAGCCACACATAATAAGTGAATGCTAACTAATGATAGTATTCAGTTACCCAGGCTGAAATAGGTGGCGTGGGACTCGAACCAATCTCTCAGTTACATTCTGGTTGTCATCTTGAGTGTCTATTGAATTTTATTATTATTCATTTCTTGCCCTCCGAGTAGAACATATGACTTCAGAGGCACATCATCATTTCCAGCTGGCCACAAGATTTCATTCCCTCTTCACCTGAACCACTACATATCAGCCTCGGACACCCAACCCATCGCTTTCCACTTGTGTTTCACATGAGGACCTAATGTGTGATATAATTCGAAGGTCAATCTCCTCAGCGAATATCAAATCCAACTCCATTTGTTTTTGTATATTTGTTGGGCAATAGATTCTTGACTGGGTTCTCTGTATGTCAGTGTTACTTGTCAGTTATCCTTCCCAGTCAACCATCTTCTTTGTAGTATCAAAACAAGGCAAGTGTTGATGATGGTCTACCGTAGTCTGTTGGAAATGATTTTGGTGACGTGTACAGTAAGTCTCTGAACCACTTAAAAGCACTCACTTCATAAAGGTGTTTAAAATTTGGATCTCATTCTTTTTGTTGCGTGCTATGTATCTCCACACTGGTTTCAGAGTACTGAACGTATTCATAGGTAGATACTTGGTACTCACTGTTAAATTTGAATGCTGTGATTATGTGACAGTCTATGGTGATTTTCTATTACATGCTCACACTATACTCTTTTACAAATCTTTGTTTTTCTTTTCTTTCTCAGCATCACTGCCGTAACTGTGGACTTATATTTTGTCACGAATGCTCTTCTCGAAAAATGACCTTGCCAAGTTCTTCCAAACCTGTACGAGTCTGTGATACATGTCATGCATTGCTTTTACACAGGTACAATGCTAAATGAACTCTAAGGTTATCAGATGTATGCCTTCATAGCCATTCTAGATAACACACATTGTCGTAAACTGTCCCAAGAATAAGTTTCTCTTGACATATGCATAATAAACCAATGTGATGTGTATTTTTTACTTTTAACGATTTGTGCATTTGCCAGTTTTCCTTTGTTTTCTTCTATACATTGAAAATAACCGTGTACATATATGCATTCTTTGTAACTTGTTACTTATCAAATATATTTTTTCTGCTTCTGTAATCCTTGATCTGAAATTAAAACTTATAAGGGTTATGTTTAGAGTAGTTTCACCGTCTGTTACCTTTTGATTTCTCATCAATCGTATTATCTTCTGAAGGAAAAGACAGGATGCTTATTAGACACCGACTGATGCATATTCTTAGTGTTGAAATTTTTCGCGTATAAATACTGTGCGAGTGTGTTTTGTTTCTCAAAAGCTAAGATATTTACCTCACTTTTACTTACATATATGATTGTGGGTTAGGGCGATACAATGTATTGTTTGCGGGCAAAGTGCTTATCGTTAAAGTCACTCTTGGAGAATTCATTCACTATTTCACAGCCAAGACAGTATGTTATGTAACAACATTTCCGTATCGCCACTGTATTTATCTTTGATTTTAACACTGTCTACTGTAATCTTTAACTTCGGCTCTCTAAAGGAAATATTCGGAATATGTATACGTCATATGGCTTCGTCTTATGTTACTTATTGTGGAATATGATAGTGATCATGAACTTTACATTACACAGGACCTGGGATTCCTGATGGAGTTTACTGGCTTGTAGACAACACTGTCATATGTTTAAGGTGGTTGCTATTGAATTCGCACCTGAACGTAAGATACTCCCGGGTAGTTGATCAATTTCCAAACATAAGAGATATGAACTATCTGCTCAAATGATAGGATTGGCATTTGGTGATTAAGTGGGGGATGTAATCCATGAACAAGTTTATATGCTTTTCAATTATTGCTTGGTGAAAAATAGAGCGAAAGCATATGGCCATAGTGATCACAATTATCGTCTATCTGCTACAAACGTTGGACAACCAGTAGGCGGTTTCCCCATTGCGCCTTTTTTGACACTGAAATCCAACGTGGTGGGGAAGGCTGTATTGACGCAACAGATAGAGATTCACGGAAATATATCATTTAGTAGGTAATAATTGACATGAGCGGTATTTATTGCTAAGAAAGATAAAACTAATTGATAGACTTGGTGCCTTACCATATTACAAATTGAAGACAGGCGAAAAACGCCAGTAAAAAGAAGGTTAACTGGGGTATTACAGTACCCGAAATTTCTGTTGCGCCCGGTGGGGTACGTTAGTAACTACTCAGAAAGTACGCTGCACTCCTCCCTGTCTGGGAAAGTGTTAATTTTCTGGATGCCAAGTTCGCTGGTGATGTTTCCCATAAACTGACTTCTGGCCAGAGAGCAGTAATTCTGTAGTACCAAGGTAGAAAACGCCTCAGCAGCGTTATCTAAATCTTGTATTGAGCTAGGCATGGCCTCATAACTTTGTTAAGCAGTCAACTATGATACAATTTCTGGCGGCCTGCTTAAAGCTTGGGCTACCAAATTTTTCCGTCACTTAAATTGCATCTGATTTCTTGGATTTATTTTGTTTTAATTATTCAATTATGTATCCAAAACGTGTTACTTACTCTCGCGATTATTTAAAATGTTTTCAACCGGATAATTTACGAGTATATAATAACCTTAAGAAAAAGCACCATGGTGGGTGGCAAAGATCCTTAAAGTGTACTCCAATGCATCAGATGACTATTCCTGTGATTATGAGCACTAATTGCAGGTCATTATCGAACAAGATTATTCACTTGGATTCTCTATTATATTCAAATATTTATCGTAATACCGGTGTAATAACGCTTCAGGAAACTTGGCTACACGACTCATATGATGTCAATTTAATCTCAATAAATGGTTTCAATATGTACAGACAAGACCGGAGTAGTTCAAGGAAGAAGCGAGGCGGCGGTGTTGCTACCTTCATCAATTCTCAGTGGTCTGTTGCCAACAACGTCTGTTTTAAATTCTCAAATGATAATATTGACTGTATAACTGTCAAATGTCGACCTAAACACCTATCTAAATACAAATTCATTTATATCACGAATATTTATATCACACCTTGTTGTAGCACTTCAGAATTATCTATGCTTGCTGATGAATTCACTATTTTCGCTGCCGCCTCTTTTGGTAACTCCCTGTCCATAGTGACAGGCGATTTTAATTCATGTGACTGCAGCTTTCTCACAGTGATAGGTCATGAAAATGTTGTTAACTTTCCCACCAGACTGGATAATTCCCTTGATCTTGTATTTATCAGATTTGACCGTTTCTCCTCTCCTCAACTTAAAAAGCTTCGCAGACAGAAAGAAAAATTATATAAAATGAAGGATAATGCTGGTTTGAAAAGAATTAACATCCTAATAAAGTCCGAAATGCACAGATTGAATTCAATTTACAACCAAAAGTTCATATCCTGTAAAAATGCGTCTAACATATGGAAACTTTTCAAAGAAATTACTGGTGGTAAGCAGATGAACAGTATTCCTTTTCCCCTTGATGTTTCCAAACTAAACAATTCCTTCATACATTCTCCCACGAATGCCAAACTTTCTAGTGTTACAAGTATTAATGAAACCTGCTTTCCTGGATTTACTACAAATGACGTTCTAAAATGCCTCCAGTCTATGAACCCTTCTTGTAGCCTGGGTCCAGATGGTTTGCCTAGTGTTATTCTTAAACATTGTGCAGATATCCTGTGTTATCCTCTCATGGACATATTCAATGATTCTTTTTCCAAAAATGTCGTGCCAGCCGCTTGGAAGGACATTAAAATTGTACCTATTCCTAAGTCGTCTACTGCGACATGTTTTAAATTCAGACCCATTGCTATTACTTCCCCTTTTCTAAAAGCTATGGAAATATTGCTCTTACTTAATCTTCAGCCTTCACTTAAAGCCTTTAATGATCCCAAACAGTTTGCCTACAAACATAGTAGAAGTACTTTGGACGCAGCTGCAGTCCTGCATCATAACATTGTCTCCAGCTTAGACAAGGGGGCTCAATTTGTTCGCTGCACATTTCTAGATTATACATCTGCTTTCGACACAGTACCTAGGGACATTTTACTAAAGAAGCTTGCTGAAACTCAAACTGACTGTTGGGTTGTCAAATGGCTCCATTCTTATTTCTCAGAAAGAAAGCAATACACTGTATATCAGGGAAAGTCGTCCACTTCATTGCTTACTGAGGCTGGTGTCCCTCAAGGCGCTGTCCTTTCTCCTTTTCTGTTTTCTTTCTTCTTGCATGACTTGCCTCACTCCGATGAAATGAACTTTGTTAAGTATGCCGATGATCTAACTATTTCGATGTCTGTTAACTCTCAACTTGACTGTATTAAGATTAACAACTTTCTATCAGAAATCAGCAAACGGTCTTCGTCTAACGGCCTTAAACTTAATCCTTCCAAATGTCAGACTGTTAATTTCAGTTTTCGATGTAAACGAAAGTTAAATGAAGCCGTTGGTTCCTATGACCCTTGCAAAATCGATGATACCGATATAGAAAGCAAGTATGAAGTTAAGTATCTTGGATTAGTTCTCTCTTCTGACCTATCTTGGTCTTCTCATGTCTTAGCGATTTCTAAGAGAATATTTCGTTTGACTTTTTACATTAAGAAGTTAAGGCACTCCGGCATAACGCAACCACTCCTCTTAGTTTGTCAACTCGTGTATTTTACCTATTCTTCTTTACTGTTCACCCTTATTCTTTCCTGGATTGCTAAAAAAGGACTATGTCATACTTCGTAGAACTCTGAGGACTGTCAGTAGGTCTAGTGGTATCCCATTGGGCCATATCGTTGGCATTGTCACCGATAGGCATTTGATGTCATGCAACAGATTCGCTAGAGGAATTTTGTCAGACTCTGAGCACCCACTCTACCCGCAGCTCCAACCTTGTGTCTCCTCAGGTAAAACAAGAAGTCTTTTCAGAAGACTTTATGCACGTACGTCTAAGTATAAAAATTCCACTATACCATATATAGCACGTACTTTATGTGATGAAAATAGTGTCAGAAATGAACTAACTAACCTTCTTAGCACCACTAAATAGACCATTTCCTTCAACCTTAAAGCAACATACTTTATTGTTATTGTATTTCTTATATTTATAACCCTCTCAATTTTTTCGTTTTGTTTATTTTATTTTTCATAACTGTGGACATAATTTTAAGCTGTATCATGACTGTTAACTTTGTATTTCACCTCACTATACCATATCAACAGAACATTAGACCCAATAATCTATAACATGCTAAAGTTTCCAAACTGAATCGACAATACCGTTTGAAACAAACTCACTGTTATTAGTATTTATTATTATTATTACTATTATTATTATTATTACAATATCTAATAATTATGTCGTTAATGTGGACAAATTTCTCCGATTAATTTTTGTTTTAAATTTTTAATTTTATATACACTTTGAGTAAATCAGATGCAATATTGTGACAAATGCTGAGAATTCCATTCTGTATTATAAGTACTGTTTTTGGAATAAAGTAAATTATTATTATTATTATTAAAAAAAAAAATATACAGGCTACAATTTTTATCGGATGTTGGAAATCCTATAACATCTCTGTTAACTTTGATGATGTAGCCCTGTTGTTAACACAGAAACATATAGGATGGTGGCGTTTTGGACGTTCATTATATGCTTTGCAGATATCCTCCGCATTGCGCTGCAACTGTGACTACTAGGAACCTCGTGGTGAATTTTTCCTCTTATGTGGTTAAGTATGCCCAAATTCCTGATGCATTTCATTAACTACTGCAACTTCGATAAAGGAATAGTACGATAAACTGGTTTGGCTAGATTAAATAAATAAAGGATATCTTTGACTAGACATACGTATGTCTGATACAAATATACACAGCCACTAATTAAGTGTCCTATAATATCCTCCTTGACTGTTTGTGGTCTTTAGTAACTGGTGTGAGCACATATTGAACAGGTCGTGGTCAGCTGTCTTAAGCTAACAACATTTAATTTTCCCAGCAGGAGTAACTAAGATCTTTAATGCCTCTACGGGATGCCCAACAAAGAGCCGCCATTAGAGTATGGTGGTGATTCTCGATATTCACGAGTGAAATAAAACTCCTTGGGACAGGTTTATTTGGACTCCAATTTGAGAAGGGCTTTCCGAACATAAAGGTCATAGAATTTCTGCCTCAAAGAATGGTAACAAGAACGAAGCCCGACAAATACAAATATTAACACTTTTCAATGAGTGGCAAAGTTAAACTTTCGACGCCAATAACAACCAATCAGCAATCGACCTTGAACTGATC